ACAGAGAGAGAGAGAGAGAGAGAGTGAGAGTGAGAAAGAGTTAGATAGATAAATATAGACATAGATAATGCACAGACTGTGAAAGTGTTATAGTGGAACACACCTATTCTATAGTTCATAGACTCTCCCACCTATAATAAGTAGGAATAGTAATAGTAACGGTCAGTAGCTCAGTGAGTTAGGCAGTCAGTCGATGTCGGACGACCGTTAGTCGGATATTAAAGTATCAGCGACCACGACTAGATTTCTCTGCGTCATTACCTATTATATCGTCTTCCTAACGTTTTGTACGTCGAACCTATTTTAGGACCGACTTAGTGAAATACAAGCCTCCACTGTGAAAACACTCTACAACAGAAAGGTAGATAGGTATGATGGGACTGAGATAGATTAATAGATAGATAGATAGCGAACAGAGATTGATAGGTATATATATATAGAAAGATATGAATGAAACTGATATATATATATATACATATATATATATGAAACTGATATATATATATATATATATATATATATATATATAGAGAGAGAGAGAGAGAGAGAGAGAGAGAGAATGCACAGACTGTGAAAGAAAAATAGGTATAATGAAACTGAGATCGATATGTAGACAGACAGACAGACAGACAGACAAATAGATAGTGTGAAAGAGGGAGAGGGGAGTAATCTATTAATCTGTCTGTTCTAATGCAAACCTATCCGCCTGATATAAATCTTTGGTGCAGCACAATCTTCCGATTACTATTCTGGCTTTGGTGTTGATGTTTGTCCCCATTTAACACCTGATCTTTACAGGTGTCATTGAAGAGATCGATAAATCTTCAGATTTAAGTCCACCAACAGATGAAATACGAAGCCTGGACGACTGTTTTATTTAAAAGGAAAGCTCTCCCACCTTATTGCTGATTGGAGACAACTCAACAAACTTTGAAACTAATATTTTCCAGCTTCCTCAAATCTCGTCTCATCGTCTTTCCCTAACTCTTTCACTCTTAACCCGTTCATTCTTGGCAGATAGCCACCTTGATACTGCAGGCCTTATCATATAGCTTTCCCTATACCACCTCACCGCATCCGTTTCGCCTGATCGTAATATATCGTTAAATCTATGTCCCAGACCAACCTCACTTTTCAAACAATGGCTAACGATCTGCATCTCCCCCATCCCTTGTGCACACATATTCTCGAAATCTAACTGTCGAACAATTTTTATCTGGACCCTAGGTGAGACAACACACCATCAAATATTGGCTTAAACCAGAAGCCTAAATTCTCCAAAATTAACCTCCACCCAGTAACTATGAGCAGTTTCAATAAATCCGAAGCCTCGAGGTGAAATGAGGTTCCGAGAACTTAATGAAGCGCTTTTTCTGGTTGAAGAGCCTGTTACTATTATCGCCGAAAGCTACTATTTACTAAGTAAATTTACATGGGACCGTGTCCCAAAATCGTAGAGAAGTTACTGACCAAAGCAGCAAGCAGTGTACTTTGTTATTTTCTGGCGTTCCGCCCATCATCTGACTTCTTTTTTTTTTTTTTAAGGTTTTGTTTTTGCGCTCAGAAACAATAAGGGCAATGTTCCAATTGATTTTAGGATTCAAATGTAAGAAATATAAGCGTTGAATTATACTATCTAACGACCTTCATATTTCAGGTTGAGCCTGCTCCACGGCGCGCAAATACAATGACATCATCGAATAAGCGACATATTTGATCAATGCCAATTCAATTATTTACAAGTTGCGATGCTAAAATTGTCGCCTAAATTACGTGAAAAAGAACATAACACAGACATCGCATTTTTAACAGATATATTTACCAAAATCACAGAAAAAATATCTTGACACAGTAAAGAGTAAATGTATTCAATAATATTGCCATTGGCTTCAACCAGGGCTTCCAGACGACTTCGGAATCGCCTGCAACTCTTCCGATGATGCTCACTGGATATATCATCCAAATCTTTTCGAATCCGCTGCACTGTCCACCAAACAACCAAATACACTGACATTTAAAATGAAAAATATAAAATGGTGAAAATATACCCTGTACTTCTGACCCAAGAATTGTGCATCTTTCATATTTCTAATCCTAACCTTCCATTAACTTGTATTAAATTCACGCTCTACACAACGCCACCTGTTTTGTTTGTAATTTTCTCCGGATTAAAAGAGTTAAATTGTTATTAGTTTTCCGGAAACCTATTATGTATCTGTAACAAGGACACTGCGGTTAATAATCTTTAAAAAATGGCAAATTTTATTAGCTTCACTTTTTGGTTAGAGTTAGAATTTGTAAAGAGATCATTTCTCCCAAGCAAGGCGATAAAGCAACTAAGATGCATAGATTTAATTTAAGAAAGAATATTATGAGAGAGAGAGAGAGAGAGAGAGAGAGCAGTAAAATAACGGAATTTACGAAAGCATAAGATGGCGATTGACATTGCATTAATATTACTGAAGAGTCAGAAGAGTGTTCCACAATCGAGAGGACAATAAATGAACATGGTTCAAGCAAACAGACGAAGCCGATTGACATTGCATTTAAATTTTTGAAGATAAAAAAAGCAAGCAGCCGGAAGAGACTTCCATTGGTAAAAGATGCAAAGGAAGAAACTTTTAGCATAGAACTTACGGCTAGATTAAGTCACTTCAATTGTAAAACGATTAGACCTTCTTGTCGGTGTAGTACTGCGCTGAAATACAGAAACGAATGAAATGCGAAACTAGTAAACAATATCCATTTCTCCACACCTACTTGATGCTGTTGTCTTTCAAAAATTAAATTCTGAATTTAACAGGCTATCTAAATGCTCAGTATGAGAAAACGATCCGTTTGTCAATTTCCGTTTCTACACGTTTTCCATGTCACACGGCAACAGACGATTGCTAGAATGGATAGATAACTAGTTGTTATCATTATTTGTCTAAGTAGGGGGTCATGTTTATTCTGTTTGGGTGTTGTAGATGGATGACTATTCTCTGTCCTCATGCAGTCAATGATTTGGGGATTATCTTCTACTTCCATACTTAGGATTTCTTGTCTGTTTTTGGTTTTAGAATAATCTTATCTTTTAATCTCGGTCTTTTTATTTGCCTTTGGTTTTATTTTTAGAGGCAGAGAGTTATTCTAATTTATTCGGGAATGTTGGGATGATGTTTCCATCTTCTTTCAGAATTTTTCTCTTATTGCTACCCGAAGTGTTTCCACTGTAGAGGAGGGTGCGTATTCTATTTTCGTGTAGATTTTCTCTTTTTCTGTGTTTCTTATGATCTGTTGCTGTTTTCATTTCTTTGACTTCATCAATCCTTTGTAGGTTATTTAAAGCCAGAACGGATTTCTAGATTGCAAGAAACTTTTTTATTAATAATAATTAACCCATACATGGGTGAGAAGATGTGGATTAATGCACTTAAGTAAATATAACGAACCCGACTTAAAATAGAAATCGAATCTCCGAATTCACCAGCACATCCACGCTTACAGAACCTGGTATTTCCAACCGACCACTCAGCTAGGTACTGACAAGTTTCTACGTTGCTTATTTTCGGTGATCCTATCAGACACATTTTGACTTGAAGTTGTTGGTGTAGGGTTTGATGTGGTGGTGTATACTGTTGCGTTTGATACACTATTTCTAGTCTTCCTGATACTATTTCAATTCTTTCATTTGAACTGTTAATTTTTCCTAAGAGTTTTGTTGGCTTTCATTCTGGTAAATTCCTGCCTTGACTGCATTTCGTTCTGCTAAATTCCTGCTTTGACTGCATTTCGTTCTGGTAAATTACTGCTTTGAATGCATTTCGTTCTGGTAAATTTCTGCTTTGACTGCATTTCGCTCTGCTAAATTGCTGCCTTGTCTGCATTTCGTTCTGGGTAATTGTTGCTTTGACTGCATTTCGGTCTTGTAAATTGCTGCTTTGACTGTATTTCGTTCTTGCAAATTGCTGCTTTGACTGCATTTCCTTCTGGTAAATTATTGCTTTGACTGCATTTACTTCTGGTAAATTGTTGCTTTGACTGCATTTCGTTCTGTTAAATTGCTGCTATGACTGCATTTCGTTCTTGTAAATTGTTGGTTTGACTGCATTTCGTTCTTCTAAATTGCTTCTTTGACTGAATTTTGTTCTACTAAAATTGCTGCTTTGGCTGCATTTCGTTCTGCTAAATTCTTTGTTGACTGCATTTCCTTCTGTTAAATTGCTGCTTTTATTGAATTTCGTTCTCCTAAATTATTGCTTCGGCTACATTTCGTTCTGATAAGTTGCTTTTTTAACTGCATTTCGTTCTGGCAAATTGCTGCTTTGACTGCATTTCGTTCTTCCAAATTGCTGCTCTTACTGCCAAAGAGTAGGTGGATTCTACACATGCCCTTTCTTCTGAGTAGGGGATATTTTGAGTATATTTAATTTTTTATTATTTCTTTTTTCCATTTTTCGCATTTCCGGAGTTCGAAGAATGGTACTTTTGGTACATTTGACATTTTAGCTTCAATGTCAAATATGGTTGTTTATGGCTCCTTTCTGTTTCTACACATCTTCTACATATTATTGTATGATTTCCACTTGTACGAATGCAATAACAATTGAATTAAAAAATCTTCATCGCAGTTCCTTTTTAGTCATTTTAAATGATATTTGTACATCAATTTAACACACAAACATATATATATATATATATATATATATATATATATATATATATATATATATATATATATATGTGTGTGTGTGTGTGCCTGTCTGTGTCTGTGTATGTGTATGTATGTATAATATATATATATATATATATATATATATATATATATATATATATATATATATATATATATATATATATATATATATATATATATATGCACGGGGCATATTGGAAAGCGCTCAATATCAGTGATACAGATAACATATTTAGTTATATAGATATGAGTTTGTGAGCCTGGGTTTCACGCTTATGTGATCCTCAGTTTGTCTGAGTAACACATAAGGGTGAAACCCAATTTCACAAACTCATATCCAGAGAAATATATATATATATATATATATATATATATATATATATA